GAGTCCATCATTCAGCTGCAGAAGGCAGGCTTGGTCCGCAAGCACACCAAAGAACTAGAGCGGCTAAAGGGCACGCCCGCAGACCTGGCGTCTCCCTTCAGGGATGGTGCAACCAGCAGGCTGGAAGCCAGCATACCAGAGGAGAACCAGGACCTGGCTCCTGGCCCTGAGCCGGGGACCCCAGCTCTGCCCGGCCATGCTGCCGGTGATGAGAAGTCAGAGGCCGGCCCCCCTCCATCAGAAGGAGCCTCGCTGAAGAGCGCCACTCCCTTCCTCTGCCGCCTGGATCACACCAGTCATTTCTCGAAAGACTTTCTCAAGACCATCTGCTACACCCCCACCTCATCTTCCATGAGTTCCAACCTGACCCGGAGCTCCAGCAGTGACAGCATCCACAGCGTCCGCGGGAAGCCAGGGCTGGTGAAACAGCGGACGCAGGAGATCGAGACTCGGCTGCGGCTGGCAGGCCTCACCGTCTCGTCCCCACTCAAGCGCTCACACTCTCTTGCCAAGCTCGGAAGCCTCAATTTCTCAACAGAAGACCTGACCAGTGAGGCCGACGTGTCCACCATCGCCGACTCCCAGGATGCCAAGTTGAGCGAGGCTTCCTTCTTGCACGAGCCCCAGGCAACCCCAAGGAACTCAGCCGCCACCTCTATGCCATCAGGGAAATCTGCCCCAGAAAACTTGAAAAGCCCCTCGTGGGTGAGCAAAAGCTGATCCCCCCTTTAGCTGATCACACGATCCCTCCCTTAGTTTCACTGTGGATTTTGGTCAGCCCCGCAAGTCTTGATTTCTCTTAAAATTGGCGTTCTCCTAACTTCCTCCCCGCTCTTGCCATAGAGAGGAGGAGAAGAAACAAACGTGCAGCCCATGAAGAGAGGGGAGTGTCAGTTGTGTGGCTGGGAGAACCAGAAGCTGTGGGCCAAGCAGACGCGGAGCCCCAGTCATGTGTTTTCAAGGATCCTGTTTTAAGAAGAGCATATACAGATATGCACGCATCAAAAACGCTCCATTCGCAACATGCAGAACAGCTGTGGTGATGGCAGATGGCATCGCCACCACGGCGCACGTTCCTAGCTCATTCAGGCCCTCGTGGGTAACTCTTGGATGGCAATATAAGTCCTACCTCTGTTCTTGCTGTGCTTTTTATTTTTAAAACACAATAATGACCAAGGCCTGTTCCAGGGAATAATGCTGTGTCAGGAAAAAGTTTTCCCAAAAAAAGAATTGTTCTTTTTTTTTTTTTTTTGGTTGGGACCCCAAAAAGTGTTAAGAGTTCTAACTTGACTGCACCAAGCACTGTTAACGTCAAGTTACACGAGGGCGTCGAATGCTGTTGAACCAGCTCCGTGGTGCACGGGGATCGTCTGTGCATTTGAGTTCTCTGTGCTGGTGTGCTGTTACAGCTGAGTGACGTGTCTGGCCAGCACGGGGGGCTGGTGGGGGAAAATATGATGTCCTCAGTTGCCAGTAATGGAGTTTAAATTGCCCCCCACCTGGGGAGAAGGACCCACAATGCGTGTTGAGTCTCCTCTGCTGCTGAGCCCAGTAGTCGTGCTAAGGTTATGAAAGCGCTCGAGTGTCAGGCAGGGCCGGTGGTTCTGAGATGCAGATCGGCCTGCCAGGAACCCCGGGACTCAGGTTCATTCGGTCACATCGACTCATGTTTGGGGAGGAAAGGCAATTCCAGCCAAGAGAAATGTGACTGTTGAAAAGCTTCACAGATGTTTACAGTTGCCCCTTCCTGTGGGGAGAATTCTGCCTGTTTCTCTCTGGCTCTTCCTAGCGGCGAAGATGGGGTACAGGAGGGGTCCGCAGTCTCAGCGTAGCCTTTTTAGAATCAGGTGAGCTCCGTGCGTCGTGCTGCCGTGGGCTCTGGGCTTGCGTGGGGGGTTATCCGGTGTCAGTCAGCAAGACCGGATGTTAAAATGTTTTCAAGGGAGAAGGGGCTTGATGAGAAAGGTTCAACTCAGGGGTCAGCAGACTGGTGTACAGCCCCATGAGCTACCAATGGTTTTTACGTTTTTCAGGGGTTATAAAAAAAATTAATTAGTAGGGGACAAAGACCACGTAGCCTGCAAAGCCTAAGATATTTACTATCGGGCCATATATAGAAAAAATGTGCTGGACCCCCTCCCCCCTTTTTATTTGACAACACAGGGCTGCCCAGGCCCCTGGAAGAAGAAACTGGGCAAATGTGAAGGCCTTCCTGCCCCTTCAACACCGCAGGCCACATCCTTCTCCCGACCCAGACCTTGCCAGCCCACCCCCAGCATGTGTCCTGCAGGGCGAGGTAGCCCGTGTTCATGGAAGAATGCTGCTGGATGAAGCTTCCCCACAGGTACAGCTGCCCTCAGGTGGGCCAGCCAGATGAAGTTAAGTGAAACTAGAGAGCCTTCAAGGACCAGCCAAATTCTGAAAGTGGGCGAATGAGTCGCCATGTTACATTGGTCAGAACGAGCCCACCCCATCCGCCGCAGAGCAACCATTCTGAGAGCACCTAGGCAGGGTCTTCGGGGGCAAGGCCAACCCATATGTCAACTAGTGGGTAGAGTTTGCAAAAACCCTCTCTCTGGGAACTTTTTCTCCCTGACCTTATTCTTCTGTTGTTGTTTTTAAGTATACATTATTTTACTTTATAGGAATTTATTTTCTCACCACTGTCCATTGAAATCACCTTAATAGGTGATTATCCACTTATTCCTGAAAACCCTGTTTGGTTTTTCTCCCTCTCAGCCAACAAATGCATATTCTCAAAAAAGAAAAAAAAAAAGTCCAGTATGTTTTGCCAAATTAAATTTCATGTGGTAGATCAATTTTTGTGTCAAAATAATCCTTTAGATTTGGTGATGACAGGCTTGCGTTGGTTTCTTTCACCATGCCTGTGTGTGAGTGATCCATTCTTGAAAACTTTTCATTTTGAAAACCATAATTTTTCTTATCCATTTAGAGGGTGGGAGGTGAATTACAAATATCAGTGGGGTTTTTGGCCTTGTCAAAATTCTCCGTTCGTTTTCAGAAGCACGGCTCGTATATTATCATTGAAACAGACCAGGGCTGAGGGCCCCATCGTCAGAGCAAAATGAATCGTTCTTGATTTGGTGGATAACACTCTGGCCTGGAGAAAAGGATAAAGACGTTTCTCCCAGACCCAGATCAGTTGCATGTTAACATACAGCAAATTGCTATTTGAAATGTATTCTGCCAGACTTGGGGGCACCTTGGCAAAGACAGATTCATACCCGTCCCTGAAAAGAAATTTTGCTCCGTAAGATATGCCGTATCCTGACTGATGCTTGGTCTGTAATCTTAGCTGATGAGGAAAATTCCTAACAGGAGTGGCACAGGTGAGAGGCAGCAGTGAATGCCCTGAAAGTCATTGATTTCGGTGACTGACATCTTCATGGAATGCCTTTGTCGAATTAGGAGAGAATGGAAATCGTGTAAATCATCTTGCTATTGTGTATTCAGTTGTGCTTCATCGTTCACCTCACCTTTCCCTCACCCTTTCATTCAATATGGCATGCCAGAAGTCAGACTGAAGTAGATACAGGGAGGTCGCCTTGTCACCTTTTGTTAAGTATAAGGGAGAAACTGGTCCCGGAGAGAGGAGAAAGCATCCTGTCCTCTGATCATGCCTTGACCATGCCAATTTCCATCTCTTTCTCTTAGAGCAATGTCTGTGGTTGCATGAGCTTCTTAAGAACAAGATTTCGCTCTCCGTATTCCCTGCCACCTTGGTCTCAGTGTGGGGACCCATGCTGACCTCTGGGCTGGCGAACAGCTCTCTGTGGGGCAGCGGTACCCTGTCCATCTGGCATGCAGATCTCTCACCAGGTGCTCACAGATGACTACACTCTCCAGCCTCCTGTTCCACACCTCACTCTCCAGCTAGAAAGCATTCCAGCCCATTCTAAAGCCTCTTCCCTCCTAGATAGGCCCAGAGGATACCACAAGATGGAACCATGTTTGCAATAGAATTAACTCCTTCAGGACACCCTGTACTTAATCACTCTTGTCTCTCCACGCAGGCCTGACCCCAGAAGAGACCCCTGCTCCCCTGGGCCCATTTCTCTCCATTGGGAACAAATGTGGCACCATGTAGTCAAGATCATATAACCTGGCCCAAGGTGTCCAAAGAGGCCCTTGCTCTCTGTTGGCCGGAAACGCTTGGTGCCAGAATACATTTCACCCAACCCTAGTCTGGCTTGCCACCTGGCAGGGGTCCCCAGACACACACAACTCAGCGAGGGCAAGCACTTCCCCGTTGGCTGAAAAGCTAGGCGGGCTGGGAAATTGGTGACATCTGGACAGCACGGTGCAGGTTCTTGCCAATGCTTTATGCCAGTCGAAGGTAGGTGATTGACCCTTCTGCTCAGCTGCTTGGTTTTGTTATTGTCTGTTCTGCAACTGAAGACCTGTGTGTATAACTTCACTCTGCATATATATATATTGGAATGTATATATATGTTACTTGAATCAAATCATCATGCGCGTCACTTCTGTCTCGTCCACACACACGCTGTCACCCGAGCTGGGAAGCAGATGGCCTGGAATGCTCTGGAGTGATGCGTCGTGCTGCCCCTGGTAGATCTGGACACGACTGCCTTGTTTTGGTCTTGGATTAGGTGCTGTGGCCCTGGCTTCAGTCAGTCTCTTAAACAGGAGTCTTTATAACTGGACCACTGGTCCGCTGCTGTCCTTTCTGTCGGCTGTGCTGTACGAGAAGGTGGCTGCTTCCTCCCTCTTTTCCGACACTGTAGTTCTTTGACAATTGAGTGCCTTAATAATAGTTTACAAATACTGTGTATTTATGGGGAACTGTTAAGCTCTCACCTTCTGTGATTGGATACTTTGCCTTGGTGGTGGTGGTTGGCGTTAGGGCTGGAGCTTGCCCTGCCCGTACCTGTGCTCATCTGCTGTGCAGTCTTACGCGTGTGCCCGCAGCTGGCCCAGGAGCATTGCTAGAAACGGCGCTGGTAGTTCCTGCAGGCGAGGCAGGCCCTGGCTCCTGCTGCATCCACAGTAGTGAGGAAAGAATCGATCTTGGCGTGCTAGCCAGCTGGGGGTGGTGCGGTCCAGGCGCCCTCTGCACCACAGCCCGGCCCCTCCCCCACTCTCCCATCGCACAGTTGTACTCTTCTTTCATAGAGGTTTTTGTTACCACCTTGGCCACCCTATTTTCCTCTCTGTTGGTATCCTGAGCTTTTTGCAGCAAAATGCAGGTACAGACCACCCCTCCCCCCAAAAATCAGGAGCTCCACAAGATGGGCTGCCCTTTGGTTTTCAGAAGCTGCCAGTGGTTTCCATTGTGTTGCATAATGATACCGATTATTTTTTTATTATATTGGGTTTTTTCCTTGTTTTTTTTTTTATATATTTAAAAGGCAGTATCTTTTGTACTGTGAATTTGCAGTAGAAGATGCATAATGCACTTTTTTTTTTTACTTCTGTTGGTGTGTACTGTATATAGTCTGTGTGCTTCTTGTGATGAAAATAAACTTCTTCTTTATAAATGCCTGGTGACGTATGAACTTGTGCAAGAGAAAACTGCCTCTTCAGCCCCTGCCAAGGTAGCCATATGCATCTTCAGCACCACGATAGCCACTGTTTACTGAGCTCCTATTGCGTGCTGAGCCCCATGCTGAAAACCTGGACAAGCAGGACCCAAGGGCAGAAATGTTAGCTCCTCCAGGAATTGTCTTTATTCCCTGATTTTTACCAGTGAGGGAGAGCAGACCCACTTGTGGGTAGTCTTTTGTATACCACAAAAACTGTCCCCACCAGAGCAGGACTTGGAATGTGGGTGGTGTCTCTTTCTGCATAAGCAGAAGACGTAAAGCTAGAGGTGTGCTCCAGAGAACCACCTAAGCTAGTGACACTGCACCTCGTGGGAGAGGGAACTTCGACGTGATTACAGCTAACAGCCAGGGCAGGACTCCCGGGGAGTACCAGTCACTGAACACAGCAAAAGCTTATCTCACGCTTGTGTCACAGTCCGCTGTAGGTCAGGACCTTTTTTTTTTCAAGCTGAGCCATCCTGCCCCCTGTTGGCAGTTCAGCAGCTGCTCAGCTTGGGCCGGGAATCGAACCTCAGAGCTCAAACTCTTGAGCGAGCTCTTAACCAACTGAGCCACTCGGCCGGCCCGGTCAGGACCTTTTGGTGGCTCTCCTCCCTTGGGGACTAGCAAAGCCAGGCTGCCTCCATGTAAAACCCTGCCATTTTGGAATTCTTTGCTTCTAGCCGTGCACTCAGTGAGGGGGGTGGGGGTTGGAAGAGCATGGGGATTCACATTCACTTTGAACTGCCTTGGGCTGCAATACATCACATCTACTCACATTCCAATGGGCAAAACATGTGACAAGGCCCCACCATGCCTGCCGGGGGCTGGGAGATGTAGGGGTACATATACCTGGTGAGCACTAACTGTCCGCTATAAGTACCTTGGCATGACCACTAGATTCTAGCGCCTGTGGATCCAGAAAAGACTGTTTCGTTCACCTAGACTTGCTCTGTCTCACCTGGACTCACAGGAGACTGATGGATAAATCGGAGTGCAAGTTTTATTACTTGACAAGAATTATAGCTGTGGAGCAGGCCAGACTCCTCTCACTTGCCAATTAGCACATTGAGTCCTTCTAGAGAAGTCTACCTGTGAAGTCAAATTATGGTTAGGGATTGCTTACTGAGTATGAAATCAAAGCAAACAAGTCAGTGGAATGACTCTAATGGTTAGTGTTGACAAGCTGTAACACAGCCTTCTCTCTAAGATGTTTATGAGACGGAATCTCGGAGGGTCATTGTTCAGGACACTCGTCCTTAGCAAGGTTGGAGACACCTAACAAATTCTCTTCAGGCTCCAAACATGAGTCAGAGCCTGGGGATGGGGCCCAGCACTCATGTTTCTGATGGATTCCCTGGGAATTCCGACAGCCAAGTGTAGAAGCCATCAAAATAAGAGGGTGATGCAATCAAGCAGGCTTCCACTTCACTAGTTAATCACATTCCATACATGCTTTGCGGGACAACACCCACATCATCCTAACAGAAAATGGGTGTTCCTTAAACTGGTCAGATACTCATTTACCCAGGGCCCTAGGAGAAGCTTGCAAAGAGGGCTGCTTTTACCCTGATTTTGTCCTCAGAGTAACAATCCCAAGGTTGAGTAGGATCCCAGATCACACCTCCAGGGGGGATAGTTTTGCAGGGAGGACCCCACGTGCTTGCTTGTTTTTCACCTGGGGAAGCCCCTCTTGGTAAGATGCTTGGAAGAGGCTCCAGCAGGAAGAACTTGGAGGATGACGGGCATTTCGAGAGGAGTCACTTCATGGTAGGAAAACCCTTTCCGAAGGAGATGTCCACCAACAATGCACAAAGGGAGGCCCGCCCAGAAGACACTACCCACCCATCCCACACCCTAACAGGAGGGATTAGAGTGTACTTCTGCGCCTTCTGTGTACCCAGCACTTTACATAAAGAATCCCTTTACACTGAGTCCCCTAAGTGGCCCTCCTGACATCCTCAGTTTACAGGCCTGCAGAGTGTCAATCATTTGCCCAAGGTTACAGCTAAAAGGGGTAAAACTACCGTGTTTTCTCAAAAATAAGACCTAACTGGAAAATAAGCCCTAGTATGATTTTCAGGGTGCTCAAATGAGCCCCAGTTAAGATCATCAGCCAGACATGACTATATTTGAATAAATGTAGATTTTTCTACATGAATTAATGAATAAAATGCATCTTTTGGAGCAAAAAAGAATATAAGACCCGGTCTTATTTTCGGGGAAACACGGTAGCTAAGTACTGCTCCACCTGAAACCCTGTCTCCCACCCCGGAAGTAGAAAGAAGCAAGCTAAAACGGCAGCTTGATCTCCCTTTAGGTGTCAGCCAGGGAACACGGGAGTCCGAAATGAAGCCTCCAGCCCCTGGGAAACCTGCCCCATGTCCCTACTCCCAAGGCTGTCTCTAGAAACACACACTAGGTGTGCTTCCCTCCCCCAAATCATAGCCACCATGTTTTGCCTTTAAAGGGAAACTGCTCATGGATCCTGAAGTATTCTTGCACAGTGTCCTGTTTCAGTCTGAAACTCCTTTTTTGTTTTGGTTACACTGTTTCAGCAAATAAAATGGTGCTGGCATGAGCAGCCTCCCAACATAGAAGATGTGTGGGGATGGGGTTGGGGGTGTGTGTCTTGACTTTAAGACAGATTCTCCCACAAATGGTTTGTTGGAGGTGGCGAGCCCCCACTGGTTTTGAAATTGGATATTAGACATGAAAGATGAAGTGACTTGTTTCATGGGCCAATCGTTTGAGATTTAGCTGATAATGTATGCAAAGCCCCTTGTGCCTGGTGCACCACGCATGCTGAATCGGTGCTGGCTGTTATTGTTGGTACTGGCGGGCACGATGGAGGGGAAGGTGGTGGCAAGGAAGTAACCTATACGGGGCATCTGCTAGTTGCAAGTGTTTCACATATATGACCAAGTTGATTCTTGCAGCAGATACGACTTTTACAAACAAAAAGGTAAAAGCTCAGAGAGGTTAGGAAACATGGATCAGGGTCACACAGCCAGAAAGGGACAGAGACCCAGGATGCCTGACTCCAAATTCATCCACTTTCTACCCCACCATCTCCCCAAAGAAAATAAACCTTAATGTACTTAGTGCAATGATTAGCATGTAATAGGTGCTCAACAAATATTTGATCAGAGTGAGTGAAGGAATGAAATGTGCTGTAAAAATGAGTCCGTTTCATTCACCACGGCTTGGAAAGCTTGGGGACACCCATAACTGCCAAACCCAAGTTCCTCTAGAGCAGGGACTATGTCTTAGTCACCTCCGGGACCCCAGCAAGGGCTTGGCATGTTGGACTGAACCCCAGGTCAACACCAGGCATTAACTATGAATCAAAGAATCCCTGAGTTTCTCAGAGTCCAGAAGAATCTGAAAGGTCATCCCAGCCAAGTCTCTTTATAACATCCATCCATTCATTCTTCCCCCATTCATGGCCAGGCACTGGGAACAAAGAAGACGCCATCTATGTCATCCCTGGGGTCTTGATGGAAAGCCCTTCTGTAAGAAGAAAACACATACTCTCTGCTAACAGCAGTGTGATTAGAAGGGTAGGATTCGAGGTTTGTGTTTTCCTCCTTTCATTTATTTTCCCTATAACAGGACTGTTACTTTTATAATAAAAAGGGAAAATGTAAAGATTAGTAAAAGGAGGCTTTTGTATTGAGCTAAAATGTGCACTCTAAGCTTCTGGGCTTGTGGTTCTAGGAAATTCAGCACGGCATTGTGGGGAGAGGGTCTTTTCTCCCCTCTGTTGGGGTAGCATGGGTTCTCTCTTACAGAGATTACTCTCAGATCTCTGTGGCTCCAGGGTGCCAGGCGGGCTGACTATTCTGGGCTGTAAGCTTCTCTAGGCTGCTTGTGCCCACCCTCTGAGCACCTGGGGGGTGGCACTGGAACCGTGTGTCATGATGATGAAAGTACAGTGTCCAGAGCTGGCTCCATGGAAGTCAGGACTCCACGCTTACAAAGCCCTGCGATTGGTCTCATGCTCTGCTGTCGCCATCTTGAAATTCCTAATAATTTTTTAACAAGGGCCAGGCCTTTTCATTTTGTACTGGGCCCTGCAAATTACATAGCCGACCCTGGCAGTGTCACCATGCTGATCAAAGGCTTTGGAGCAAGACCGCCCTAGGCCTTGCTCCCTAACTTACCTGCTCTGTGACCTGGAGCAAGTGACTTACCCTCTCTGTGCCTCGGTTTCCTCATTTGAGAAACAAGAATCACCTCAGAGTGGTGCTGTAAAGAGTGGCACTGTGTACTTAGCACAAAGTAAATACCCCTGAACTCATATAACACTTGTTATATAAAGTACGTAGCACAGGTCCTGGCACAGAGTAATCCCTCAGTGAGTGGCTGCTATCATAGTGGGGGAGACATTTGCAGCCGCCGGGCCCCTCTCCCCACCCTACTTCCTTAGCATGGCTCTGAAGGGCCGAGGAGAGCAAGCACAAGCTCCCTGGACTAGGAGGGACTCAGCTGGGGTGTGCGCGTGCATCCCCCCCCTCCCCTGCCACTGACCCCGAGGAAGACTCTGGCTCTGCCTCTCTCCCATACAAACACCATTTGTCCCCGACCTGGACCCCAGCGGTTCTTCCCAGCAAGACTTTGGGGAGGGAAACAGCGAGGGCGGCCTGGGAGTGTGGGCTTGTCCCTACTGCGATCCAGAGGTACATCCTGTTCTGGCGTTGCCATGGCACGGCCAAACATCTGCCACAACAGACGGATGGGGCTGGCAACTGGCAGTGGGGCCATGGATGGGTGAGGGCCTGGACAGGCCCAGGAGGCAGGGGTGGCGGGGGCGCAAGACCCAGCAAGACCTGAGCCTGGGAAGGAAACCCCTCACCTGAACATACAGACATACACACGTATACGGCACCCACACATGCGTGCATGCAAGTTGGCCTTCCAGGACAGGCAGACTTCCCATAGGGAAGAGTTCTAATTCTTGACTTTT